AGGGTGGAGAACATTTGGCATGGAAAAAAATGCTATCAAACACCAAAAAACATGGAAAATGGAAAACCAATTCCATTTTCCATGGAAAAACAACCCTATCAAACACACCCTTACATGCACTCAAGCTCATTTGAAAGGAAATAAATTTTCTTCAGGGCAAAATACAAGATTGGATTTTTCTTTGCATACCACCAGAATTTCCAACCCTGCGCTGGCATCTTGGGAGTATCATGAATTTCTTTATCTGCTTCAAACATTAATCAGATATCTTCCCCACTCTGATTTTTTCCCTCCTGAGTATCAGCAATGCTTCAGTGAGATTATAAGAACTTTTTTAAGTTCCTTATATCTTGCATTTCTATCAGCATTAGAGCCTAGAGGTAGTGAGTTTAGGAAAAATTTAGTTGGATTATTGTCTTTCATGATCACTTTTCTAAGTTCTCGTGCTTGAGTGTACTTATTCCAGTATATTTTTCTATTATCAAGCTTCCTGAATCAAATAGTTATTTTTGTCAGAATGTGTTGTGCCTTCTGAAGCAAAAATTATTGCAACTTGCCTCTACATAACATCTGATTGTAAAATTTCGGATTGTGATATATTTCGTGATAGTGCAGAAATCCCTCCTGCTGTTACGTATGGAGCAAGTTCAGAAAAAGTTTTAGAAGGAAAGAGCAGTTCAAAAGAAGCTCAAAGGGACAAAGTTGCAGCAGAAGGTTTGTCAAGCAAGGAGTCCACTAATAAGGGAGAACATAGTAAAGTTTTGTTGATAGGTGATAGCATAGAAATCCCTCTGGGTGTTACGAATGCAACAGGTTCAGAAAAAGTTTTGCTTCGTTTCCTTTCAAGTTTTTTTACTGAAAGGGACAAAGAAGCACCAGCAAGATTGTCAAACAACGAGTCTACAATTAAAGAAGAACCCAGTAAAAATTTGTTGACAGCTGACAAACTGAAAGGTGGAATGTTCATTTTTGAGATTTATGTTCTAAATAATCTCATCATTCAATTGGAATGCTCAATGAGTTTGGTTCCCTTAGGCCTTTAAAAGGCTGTGGTGTTTCAAAATTTTCAGTTGCACAACATTTACCAGTGCTGCTTTGTTAGAAAATGTATCGATTTTATAGATCATGACCTGTTTTTCAATTGGTTATATTTTCTTTTAGAAATCTTAAGTTAAGGTCTCTTTAATTGTGCGTGCGTCTATATTGAGTTAACGAGTTGTTAAATTCATAAGACTAGTGTCAATTTTGCTTGCTGACGCAATATTTTCTCTTTGGAGTCATTGTATTGATGCTTTGCTATGGACTGACTTTTTGCAGTTCGAATCTACTCTCATTGGATACACTGCTTAAAAGATTGTCTCATTTATAGGCCATTAGATTTTAATATTGTACTTCTTGTGCAGAAATTCCTCCGAGTATTCCAGGATCAGAATCGGACAAGCTGTCAGAAGCAAAAAATAGTTCAAAACAGGCAGAAAGGGTCGGAGTTGCACCGACAAGTTCAAAGCAAAATAAAAGTTCATCAACTCTCACTGAAAAGAAAGGTTGGATACGAACTTTCAGTTTGATTTGTTTTGTTAAAAATGATTATCATGACTAAACTTGAAAAGATCAATGAAGAGGATTCAGTTGCCTCAGGGTTGTCTATACTTCATGTCTTATGAAACAACCATTAGTAAACTAGATTTGTAATAGATTGTCTATTCTTCCTTTCTTGTGAAACAAGGTATAGAAACTGGATATGTAATAGAACCAACTTTATTTCATGGACTTGTACCCTTCACTATTTTAGCATCACATGAAAAATCAAAGAAGTCGAAATAATCTTAGGACAAGTTTCCTTCATCACAAAAGTGACTAGTATCGTGGCACAAGAGAATAACACCGTCTAGAAAATTGGCTTTGGTTGGTATTATCCTTGGATAACCTATCATCTGGGTTTTCCCATCTGCTATTATTCTTCCGTACGGAACTATGATTCGAAATGGATATATTATTTAATTTGATGGTGTACGCATATATCAAGATAGAACAGTGACTACCATATTTTCTGATCATCAATACATTTTCAGGGTGTAACTATGCCAAAGGTAAATGGGTCATAGATGATAGTCGACCCCTATATTCTGGCTTTGGTTGTAAGCAATGGTTATCATCGATGTGGGCTTGTCGCCTGACACAACGCACAGATTTTGAATATGAGAAACTACGTTGGCAACCCAAAAATTGTAGAATGGAAGAATTCACGGGATCTAAGTTCCTAGAGAGGTATATTTGATTTTCTTACAAAGTTTCGTTTAGGGGAAAGTTGAAATATCTCGTGAGTTGCAATGTAGTGGCACCAACCATTCTTATTCCCTATAAATAAACATTTATCTTATACGCATTCCCTGGAATATTGATTTTTTTTTGAATGACGAGTGCAGGATGCAGGACAAAACTCTGGCCTTTATTGGGGATTCATTGGGTAGACAGCAGTTCCAGTCTCTGATGTGTATGGTAACAGGTGGTGAAGAGAGACCTGACGTCCTTGACGTGGGAAAGGAGTATGGCCTTGTCAAAGCTCGAGGTTCTGTGAGGCCTGATGGATGGGCTTATCGATTCCCAAGTACCAACACTACTATCCTTTACTACTGGTCTGCAAGTCTCTGTGACTTGGAGCCCATCGACCCATCTAATCCTGCCACTGATTACGCCATGCACTTGGATCGTCCCCCAGCATTTTTGCACCGTTTCCTTCACAAATTTGATGTTCTTGTTCTGAACACAGGACACCACTGGAATAGAGGGAAACTTAATGCCAACCGTTGGATCATGTATGTTGGGGGTTTGCCTAACACCGATAGGAAGATTGCGGATATTGTGGGTGCAAAAAATTTTACTGTTTACAGTATTGTAAGATGGGTGAACTCACAGCTTCCAAAATATCCTGGTCTGAAAGCGTTTCTCAGGTCAATATCACCAAGGCATTTCTTCCAAGGAGATTGGAACACAGGAGGTACTTGTGACAATACTACCCCTCTATCTGGTGGGAAGGAAGTTTTACAAGACGAGTCGAGTGATCATCTTGCTGCAGGGGCAGTGAACGGAACAGGTGTTAAGCTGTTGGACATTACGGCTTTGTCTGAGCTTAGGGACGAGGGTCACATATCCCGTTACAGCATTAAAGCTACACCTGGAGTGCAGGATTGCTTGCATTGGTGTTTACCAGGTTTACCCGATGCCTGGAATGAAATTTTGTTCGCGCAACTATAGTTCAGCAACGCTAAGAATTGATGAGAAACATTTCCCACCTTCCTTTTCTGGAAAAGGCCACCAAATGCCCCGTCCGATGTATGTACTTGAAGGTTGGAGTTTGTCAACTGATTACCTAATAGAAATTGCATTCCAAACTCGATAATACTTTGAAGAAAAAAACTTTAGATACTAAAATTAGGCTATTTTTCTCTTCAGTTAGGTGATTATCATTTTTTCCGTCAATTTTTTCTTTCATTGGATTTCGTCTGTTCTTAAGTTACCTGTTGATTAGGAATGGAAAATTGGGGGAACTAGAGAAAGGGCCCTAAATTACAGGCTGTATCTGATTCATGTTCTACTTGTATGATTTTCTGTACTTGTTAATGGACATGCAAATTATTAGATAAATAGCAAGCGAATAAGGTTTTGACATTTTTGTGTTAGCAAATTTTGCTAAGATGTTTGAGTTATCTGACGACATGATTCATCTTGATTTCCTAGTGTCGTTTTACTTCGCCAAATTGTTGAATTTCTCGAATAGACAATTTGAAATGGAGCCAAAGATTGACATGAATATGCTTGTATTGTACACAAGCGAATTTGAAAATCCTTCTACTTTTAAGATTATGTTTGATACGTCTGTATATTGTACCAACAAGAATTAGAATCCTCTCAAATCCAAATGAAGGACGATGACATGCATGAATGAGCATCTTCAATGAGACTAAAGACAGTGAGAATGATTGGAATCAAGGTTCGGTGCCGCTCGAGTTCTTTCTTCTCGAATTACTTCAGTATGCTTAATGAATTCATCGAAGTAGAAAATGTGTATATGGCTTGTAACAATATATTATAATTATGGTGCAAATATCAAGAAGCAATATAATCTGATACATACTTCATTGCATATAGTCACTTTTAGAGCAACATTTGTGGCTGAAAAACTAGCACTTAATTTTGTCTTGAGGGCCCTATTCATATAGAATAATGTTATTTGCAGTTGCTCATTGCGGCAGTCGCCCTACGTGGCACACACATGTCAAGTGTATGTTTGATGCATTAATGTGATAAAAAAAATCACTACGTTAATGTATCAAATAACTACTTGTCATGTATGTGTCATGTAGAGCGACTGTCGTAATGAGCGACTACGAATAACATTACTCATTAATATAGTTCAAAGTTGTTGGACTTACAGAGAAGATTCACAATTATATATTACAACGATATGTTTGATTTTGTGTAAATTAAGATTTACGATTAAGTGCACATACGGAGAGTTGAGTGGTAAGTAATATGAGAGTTGCATATGGAGTGTTTATAATAAAATTACTTCATAATATTGAAGTCGTCGAGTGCAAGTGAGGTAAGAGCAGAGGCTCTACCTTTCTTTTCGTGTAAAAGAAAACTGTGGACACAATTGAATATGGACTTGTCATATAGGCTATCAATATGCACTATGGTATGATAGAATTTACTCCATTGCCTGCCACAAGCTTTTTTTTTTGAATCACGAAATATATTCCAAGAAGGCGCATAAAGCGGATACACGGAGAAAAACCTCCAACACAAACTCTCAAAAGAGAGATAAAAGTGCTTCCACGGCCCAGACGACAGGACAATAAAGACCCAAACCTAAAACAAACAAACTTTACACGACCCCAACACAAACTGAGACATCGAAAAAAGAGAGATAAAAGTGCTTCCACGGCCCAGACGACACGACAATAAAGACCCAAACCGAAAACAAACGAACTTTACACGACTCCAACACAAACTGAGACATCGAAGTCAAATTACATCAGTGACTTTATCGAGGCTTGAGTACCCCCAACAAAGCAACTACGTGGACATCATCAAGCACCCCCGCTCGCAAGGAAACGGACATTGTCTAGACTTCATCAATGCCAAACAAATCACACAACAACTCGACTCAAACTAAAAACAAACAAGACAACAGGAAACTAAAAAATCAACACAAAAACATCCACCACACACCACCAAGAAACCACCCTGCAAACAACAATACACCACCTCCACCAACCCTCGGCACCACAGGATGGCCAGCCTACAGGACCCACCGGCGAAGCCCCAACCGGCTGCAGCTTCCCCCCAAGTCTCCGTCCACTGGAACCCCCAAAAGCGCCCGAAAATCCAGCCACAAACCCCTACCAACAAGCAGACACCCAACACCACCAAAACAATCCACCAACCCAAACCACCGCAACGACCACCACCACAGGCACACCACCGAAGCAGTGTACCTACCCACCAAAACCACCAACCAACCACCAAAACAGGGGCACAAAAATCCGACCACAAGCATCCAACCGGATAAAAGAAGCTCCTGCCGGCGAAACCCTCAACCCATCGCACCCAAAAGGAGCTCCGGCAACACAAGCCCGGAAGGGAAAGCAGCTCAAGGACCCAGGTTACATCCAAGCACCACAGCCACTGCAGCAGGGACTGGCCGGACTGCCCCCAGCCATACCTTGGCCTCTGCTTGCACCATGCCTTCACCCCCCAGGAGCCATCGATCGAAACCTCCACAAGCTTTCCTTCACGAATTGTGCGGCACGTACGGGGACAGATGTCCCCCTGTGATTGGGGGATATATTTTTTTCTCTCCTCCCTACAGCACATACACGGCCAGCATCGTCCTTCCTTTACATGCTGTCATTATTCTTTTATCCCTTATTGTCAATTACGCAATCTTTTATAATATAAACATTGAACGTAAATCGAAAAACTATTCTTCTTTTTCAACCTTAAAAAAAATACTATTTCGAAAATTGTAATTTCCACATAATGGAGGTCAAACGGGGGCTAAAAGTGCGTTGCATTAAATTTAGCTCATGTTTGGTGAAAATTAAAATTTAATTAAGTCAAAATAAAAAATTAATTTTAATCACATTTGTAGTGGGACACACAATTTTTTAATCATACATTTTATCAATTTTTATCAGAAAAATTTAAAAACTTGATTTTAATATCCACAAAACTGTTCATTTTGTGTAATATAAAGATTTTATTATTATTATTTCTTATTTTGTTTTCATTTTTTACTACGATAATTCCTTTTTTAAAAAAAAAATCATTTTATTGCTTAATTTTTAATTATTTTCAGTTTTGGTGTGAAAGTTGAGTCATTTTAGTTAAATGGGTTGGAGATGGTCCTATTGAACTCTATTTAAACCATGTTTGAGCCACATTAAAATTTTCATTATCATTCGTTTATTTATTTTCAACAACACATTTTTCAATAAAATAATATTTTCTATCATATCGATAATTTTTCCTTCTTTTTCAACTACACATTTTTCATCAATCTACTATTCCAAAATATTCTTCCAAGATAACGTGGCTCAAACACAAGTTTAAATGGATTGGACTTTTTATTACGTGTAAAAGCATTTTCAAGAGACTTTATTTATAAAGAATGTCGTTAAATTTATAGATTAAATCTTTTAAAAATCTACACGAGGTTTATTTTCTTTTATTTGGAGTATTGTATAGAAACCTGTTAGTTTTGAATGTTAAGAGATAAAATTTCACATCAAATAAAGATGAAAATATAGACCAATTTATAAGAATTTGGGTTGCTCTTCTTAATAAAGTTGATTTTTTAAAATGGAATCTCGAATTTTAACATGGTATCAGAGTCATTGAGTTCTAACGAGTAATTCGATCCGATTTAAACTCAAGAAACTTGAGCACACGGATTTCAAGGTTGGTTTGCTCAAACGAGCCACCATCTTGCAGGGGCAAGTTAAGGTATAAAATCCCACATCGAATAAAGATAAAAATATAGACCAATTATAAGAGTTTGTGCTACTTCTTTTAATAAGATTGACCTTTTAAGATGAAATTTCAATTCTTAACATCGAAGTCCTTAAAATGTGGTATCCTCGTAGCTCTTAAGCTTGAGAAACGATCTCAACCTCAACCCCAAATTCATACTCAAAATTAAGTTCATGTTTGGCCTCAAATTTTTTAGACTTATTTTTCTAAAACTAATTTTCAATTATCAAATTTTCAATCACATATTTCATCAACTTTTATTAAAATCTATTAAAATCTTGGTTTTTAGTCAAATCAAAAAGGGACTAAGTCATTTGTCATGAATGGAAGGAGAGGTTTCCACCATTGTTTTGAAAACCGACCCAGGAATCGACCCGGAAATTAAAAAGGGTCAAAGGGAACCCGGAATTTTGTAAAAAAAAAAATGAATAATTAATCCAAAAATTGAATAATGTCAACAGGAAAACTTGAATAGTTAAAATTTCAAACTTGATAGTTTTGCATCATCTATCACCAATAAAAAATGCCTATGTAATAATTGAATCCAAAAAGTCCACTAAATATAAAAGATTAAATAGTTAAATGTCTTCTTCATTGTTTTCATCTATAAGCTTTAATCATTGATCACTTCCACGGTCATTTGAACCACTAAAACGAAGAATACCTTTGATTGATAAATGCGATACACTGAAGAGGAGAGAAAGACGAAGATTTTGAAACTGAAAATAAGGGTTTTCACCTTCACGGGTTTTATAAAACCTGTACCGGGACACGGTTTTCATATAAATCGGCCGGTCGGCGGGTTCCTAGATGGGTTTTTAACTACAGGTTTTTTAAATTCAATTGGACCAGATTTTGGACCGGTTCCTGGTTGAATCGGCCGGTCCGATCCGGTCCGATTTTCAAAACATTGGTTTCCACTATTAATACGCAGAAGTCTCACTATCGCCATGGTCCATGAAGATTAATAACATCAAAAAATGGAATAAGGCCAATACCATTAAAATCACCTGACTTTGTTACTTTATAAATAGGTCTCGTTTCTCTTTATACTCTCATTACAATTCTTCCTCTTCACTAATGGAGACCATTTTGTTATGTACACTCTTAGTCATGACATTTTACATTCTTTCTAAACTATATGCCCTATTCGACTGTTGTCGGACTAAAAATGTCCCACAGGGTCCGAAATCTTGTCCAATTATCGAAAACCTAAACCTCATTGGTGCTCTACCCCAACAATCCCCCCACAAGTTGTCCCAAAAATACGGCTCGATTATGCAACTCAAGTTTGGTTCGAAACCAGTTGTCATCTTCTCATCGGCCGATATGGCAAAGATATTCTTAAGAACGCATGATCATATGATATCTTTGCTTCTCGCCCTAAAACTGCTGCTGGAAAATATACAACTTATAACTATTGTAACATAACATGGGCACTATGGTCCATATTGGAGACAAGGGGGTAAAATTTACCTCAATGAACTTTTTAGTTCAAAATGTCTTGAGTCTTACGAATACATCAGAATCGAAGAAAGACGTGCTCTCATCTCGAGGTTATACTCAGTTTCGAGGCAACCAATTCGTATAAAGGAACATCTCTCACATCTCACTCTCAGCATTATAAGCAGAATTGTATTGGGAAAGAAGTACTTCAGGGAATCAGAAAATGGGGATGAAATTTATACCTTGGACGAATTTCAAGAAATGTTAGATGAACTGTTCTTGCTCAATGAGGTATTGAACATTGGAGACTGGATCCAATGGCCTGATTTCTTGGACTTGCAGGGGTATGTGAGAAGGATGAAGATTTTGAACAAGAAATTTGATATATTTCATGATCATGTATGAACATAGGGCCAGGAGGGCGAAGAAAGATTACATGGCTAAAGATGTGGTAGATTTGTTGTTGGAATTAGCAGATGATCCAAATCTTGAAGTAAAGCTTACCAGTGATGGTGTCAAGGCATTCACACGGGTAAAACCCGTCTACTTTTTCCTTAAATTATCATATGAATCTCGAATATAGATTCGTTATAACATGCATGATAAGCCTTACTGGACGAGACTCGACGGTACTATATATGAACAACATAAATCTAGTATTGTATACTATGCACGCACTTCATATTTTACATGCAGGATCTAATAGCTGGAGGTACCGATACCTCAGCGACTACAATAGAATGGGTTATGTTAGAACTCATCAAACACCCGAAAATAATGGCGAAGGCCACTCAAGAACTCGACAAGAGAGAAAAATATTGGAAAATTATTTAATTTGCCATGTAGGCCGACATATGTAATTAATTGTGTATAAATGCTATCTTCAAGTTAAGCCCAAAATTAAAGTGATCTAACAAGGAATTAAGTAAGAGGAAATTACAGCCACCCCTACTTTTAGATTACCATTTTCATAAATCAGCCAAGAAGTTTAATTTTTCAAAATTCAGGTTATAATTAAAAGAATTTAATATTAATAATTATTTTCAAATTCAATTTAATCATTTTCCTTCATTTATCACCGTCTCTCTCTCTCTCTACCCTGAGTCCCTCTCCCTCACCGTTTTCGCTCTCTCTCTGCCCTAAGCGTGTGCATCTCCTCCGTCACTTTCTACCTTTTCATCGCCGGCGACTGGGCGCTCGAAGCGGCAGACGGTGGCGCTGAAGATCCAGCCAGGTATTTCCCTAGGGTTTCTCAGATCCGCCGTACTTTTCGCCGCCTCTACAGAGATCTCGCCGCACCGCTGCCATCGTTTTCCGCCGGCAACTTCACCGATCGACCATGTCACCGAAGCCATTAACCTTTCCACCACCAACCATGTTCTGTTGTCCAATCGATCCGCCGTCCCTCGCAGATCCAACCGTCCGTCCGTCCATCCTTTTTTTGTGTGCCTATTTTGCACACAAAAAATAGGCATATTTTGCTATTGTGTGCCTATTTTGCTTTTATAATTTTACTGTTATTTTCCCAGTTCCTGAGGTTTATGTTGTGATGAATATTTTCTCGTTTTTATCTGGCTGAATCTGTCTGTAATCAGCGTTGACAGTGAAGAAAAACTGCTGAAAAGTGGTTCTCCTGTGCTATGAGTGGTGGTGGGTGTGTGTGTTGTGGGTGCGTAGGTGGTGGCGGCATTACCGGTGTGCATTGGTGTTTGGTGGGTAGATAATGGTGGTGGCGATTGCCGGTGGTGCAGGTAGAAATGTTGGTGGTGGTGGCGGCAGCGATTGGGCATGGGCTGTGTGCAGTCGTGGTGGTTGGTCATGTTGGCGGTGGTGGTTTTGGAGGTGGTGGTCGTGGCGAAGTGGTGGTTACAAATGATTCG